ATGGGAATTTAAAATGTAAAGGCTCGGTAACCAAGCAAGCTATGTGAATAATCTTTCCGCAATTGTATTTAAAAACACTCAATTAATAGTCTATCAGTGAGTTTTTTTGATTATATTAGTAGAAAATTTTTTTATAAAGGTTCAAAGTTGTCAATTTTATTGATTTTTACTATTTTGGAGGCGTTACAAAAATTTCAAAATAACATTTAAAAAATCCGCATATATGAAAATTTGTTATTGATGTTTATTATTTTTGATGATCAACCATTGTGACCAACCCCAATAAACAACCGATTAAATTTTGTTACACGAAAGTACCCCTGGATTATTATTTTTGTGTTACGTATTAATTATGGACAAAGACAACTATACAAAGATGAATAAGTAAAGAACACATACAAAGATGATTAATAAATGTTAGAAGAGAAAAAAATGTAATTTTTAATAAATAAATTTTAATTTATGTATTCATGTATTAATGCACAATATTATTTGTAAACACAAAAAATAATCTTTGTTAATCTTTGTTAATAAATTGTTTTGTATATTTTCTTTAAATTGTGAACAATTTTAAATGCATATATAATTCATGTATATAATTTTCGATGCACAAATACAATTTACAAGTAATTTTACATACAAATTATTCATAAAATAATTTTGCAAAAATTAATATTTTATAATTTAAAATGTCTGATTTAATGGAAGAAATTATTGAAGCATCTGAAAATGAAAATGAATCATTTGAAGAAAGTAATTTGATACAATACAATTTAGCTGAATTAGGATTAGAGGAATATGAATCAAATACCTTGGTACAGAAAAATGTTCATGAACTAGAATTATTTTTTGGAAACAGATCAAACTGTAGATGTTGAAATGAAAATGAAATTTGTTTTGAAAAAATTGGGTTTAAAAATTTTTTTGAAAGATACATGGAATTGAAAGGATTAGAAAACACCACCACTGAAATGTAAATATAAACTAATGTTTGTATTTATAGAACTTGTCATCACCACAACCATCACCACAATTATCACCAACACAATCATCAACACCACCACAAGAATTTAATGATGACAAGGTATATATAATATAAAATATAATTACAATCAATATTTCAAAATAAAACATTAATTTGTTTTTATTTTTTTTATATAGATGGGATGCACTAATTTATGTCCACGCCATTGCTTATAATAATGTGTTATTAATATTACTCTACAAAAATTAAATTTCTGCTTTTGGTTGTTTTTTAAATTACTTAGTAATTATAGTTTACCCAAAAAACAGCAAAAAATTTTTTGTAAGGTAATAATTTAGTTATTATTTTTAAATAATAAATAATAAAATACAAAGTTATTATGGATTTTGGCTCATGATCTGTAATAGTAATAGTATTCATAATATAGATAGTAACAAAAATTATAATAGTAATAGAATTGTGATGTTAAACAAACATTATTGATCCCTGAAATCTTTGGTAATACCAATGTTCACTTTGTCTGGTTTTGTTGCAGCATGCCCCATATATAATTTGCATGTATAACAAACAGTCAATTATTTCTTATAATTAATAAATTATAAAATTAAAGTTTTTCTTTTGTCAAGAAAAAAAAGAAATATGGTGGCAATTGTGAAATCAGGCTCATTGTAGGACTCTAGTCGAATGATTTTTACCAGTCAAATGATTTGTAAAAAAAATAATACGATTATAAATTTATTATAAATGATAAATAAATATCTTTAATAAATAATCTATTATATATCAAGGATTTCTTGGATTTTATCCACTAAATGTAAAACCAAGGCCTTCTAAATTGAGGCATACTGTAATAATAAAATAATACAATAATATTAATTAGGTGACTTGTAACAGCCTTTTCTTTGATAAAAACTCCACCTTCAGTTCTTTAATAAACTTACCATCAAGAAGAAGATGTCCTTTTTTTCTCTGAGCATAAAATTGATTATAACAATCACTCTTCTCTTCTTTGTTTATGGAAGGTTTGAGATGATCAGAAGGTCTTTGAATATTATGGTCATTAAATGAGTTGGGTGTTTCTCCATTAGGAGCATATCCACAATCTACTTTGTGTGCCTCTTCTTCCCAACCACTTGATAAATGTGCACTTACTGAAGATAATGCTGCTTGGAATATTAAGCCTACGCCCATACCTTTGGCCAGAGAAGCACCAGTAGAAGCACCAACTTTTACAACATGTTTACCTGATTCAGTAGCACCTACTTTTAAAACATCTTGTATTATAACTTTGCCTCCTTGTTTTGTTATTTCTTCGGCTGCTTCTAGAGTAACAAAATTAAAGGTGTTTTTAGATACCTCTTGCATTGCTAACTTACTACCTTCTGTTATAACAAATGGATTTTGCCACCACCATCCTTTTGAGACTAATTGCTTTGCCCCCTCCTTCATAGTTAATTGGGCTGATTGTTGTAAAACCAGTTCCTTAGCTGTCGCCTCAGCAATAATACCTCCTGTGGCTGTTGCTATTCCTGTTCCTGCTAGTCCCACTCCTGTTATCGTTTCCTTAGATTCAAGATCTTCAGAATCATCTAAATCTAATTCATTATAGCCTCTAAGTTCAGGGAGTACCATTTCATTAATGTATACCCCACAATATTTTACATTTTCTCCGCCTTTGCCTGGTTCCCCTCCTGTACCATTTACACCTTTCTTACTCCCTGCTTTAGAAATAGCAGGAGCATCAGATAATTGAAATGGACTATCTATGACTACTAAGCCAGGTTTCCCTTCAAAGCCACCTTTTCCTCCTTGTCCACCATTTCCTCCTTTATGTCCTGGATCATAACTTTCATATGTTTCTGTAAATTTATCATTAAAGGTAAAAAGAAATTTCATTCCCTTTACTATGAGGTTTTCCATTACTTTTTTCCTTGAAACAAGAGCAGATTCATCTCTACTTTCTACAATTTCTTTTCCAATATCTGAACCATCCAGTCCATTGCCACCATTACCACCATCTTGACCTTGTCCACCATCTCCACCACTAACATCAATAGTTAAGGAAGAAAGATTGAAAAATTTTTTTCCTTTGGCATAAAAATGCCCTCCATTATAACCAGGCAACCCAGGCAATCCATCTCTTCCATGAATTTGTTCACTATTTTCATCTCTTTCATCAATTTGTTCACTATTTCCATCGTTTTCATCAATTTTTTCACTATTTCCATCGTTTTCAATTGCTATCTTAGTTTTCCATTGAGACATTCTTTTAATATTACCATAAACTCTTGACAGAAGACCATTGTTTATCAGATGATTTCTAATATTTTCGAAATAAGTTCTGCCAATTTCTAACATATTGAGATAAGTTTCTTGACAGAAAGGCATATTATGATCCCAATGATAGAAAGTTCTTTTATTAGATCAAGTTTTCTTTTTAAGGCGTCTGCTAGTGCTTGCTGATCCACCACCCATTGCTTTAAGTTGGTCCATTAAAAATATGTCTTGTTCTGTTTTAGAAAGAGCTTGAAAGGATCCCCTTAATTCTGCAAAATTTTCCTTGGGAATTCTTGAAGAGCATCCACGCAATTACAACCTTTTTCTAAAAAATCAATTGCTTTTGTATTTATTATTGTTTTTCATATACACCTATTCCTATATATATAATTTTATAATTTTATGTAGAACAGCAAACAATTAAAAAATCACTAAAGATGTTAAAGATGTAAATTTTTTTATTACTGCATTTTTTGATAATTATATTGGTATAAAGCTATAATTTCATTTACAATATCAAATTTATTTCAAGTCATGCTCTGTTTGTAAAAATTATTTTTTAAAAAATAAAACACAATAACTCTGAATATTTTATTAACTTTGATGATAATTTTTCAAATGGAGATACTATTATTCAAACACAAATGCTCCAAATGTCTATTAATACATCAATTCAGGACATCCAGGGTCTTCATAGTCATCACTGAAAGCTATATGCAATTTTGGATAAGAGGCTTTTCATCCAGACGAACTGATTTTTCAAGCATCTTCAAACTCCATCTAACATTCATATGAAATTTCTCATCTTCTATCATATCTGGGATCATGTCCAAAATCCTCTGATCAAATGATAATGCATTTACATGAAACTTTGCTCTTTTTGTTAATGGTCCTTGAACATCTGGTACTGCATTCTCTCTTTTGGTTCCAACCAAAATAACAAATTTATACCCCGCTCAGTGGTAAATTGCTTGATCAAACCTAATTCCCATCAATTTTTGCACTTGTAATACAATACTCTTCAGTTGAACTTTCCACTTTCATTATGAAGAAGACACCCCACTTGTTATATTACTATTAAAATTTCAATATATCGGATTGTTATAATAAACCACATGACAATCATTTATATATAGCATCAATTAATTGTTACACCAATGATAATTAGTGGGCACATGACTTGGAATTTTAAAAGAAAATTAATCCAACTATATAATAATAGAAATAATTTATAAAAATATAAGTTAAAGAATTGTCAGAGCACTTGTGTAGGAGAAAAATACTCAGACTAAAGCCATTTGTAAGTATTAAGTATTAGTGTCATCAATAGGATAATGGTAACAAAAAAGTTTGTATATATAATTTAGATTGTTTTTTTAAATAAATTAAATGATGAAAAGGTCAGAATTAAATTTCTAATGATAAAATTAATTGATTAAAGGTTATTAGAAAAATATTATCACAATTACACTAAATTTTAAACCCTGCATTATATGTGATATAATGTTCACTTAATCTGGTTTTGTTGCAGTATGTCCCAAATAATATATTTATATTTTTCAAAACTTTTGTGAAATAATAGTATATAGTAATAGTAGTGGCTTTTCTTTATGCGTAGATGATATAAATTCGAATGGAGAACCTACGACAGATAAAGTATTAGATTCTTGTGGTGATAATGGTTGTACAGCTGAAGAATATAATCCAAGTCTTCATATCACTTCATTCTTTATAATTCTTATAACAAGTTCATTAGGTAAAAACAAATAACCAATCATTTAATTTATTTTGATTATAATCCAAAATCATTTATTACACTATTATTAAATACTAGGTGCCTTTATTCCAGTTATCGCCACTAGAAGCAAAATTGGTTTATTTTTGTAAGTATTGTTAAAATATAAACGCTTAATATTGTGATTATATAGTGTTAATCCATGTGTTATATTTAGCCGCAAAGCATTTCGGTACTGGGTGTTATTCTTGCAACCGCTTCTATTCACATAAGTAATGACCAAAGAAAAAAATCTTTGATTCGAATATGGTCCATCTAAAATTGATTCAATTCAATATTTAATTGTTTTTTCAAAAAATTTATTTATCATATTTCCTATTTAGATGCTTTCTATGGCATTTGGAGCATTAAGTGAAGACTGTCTTCCAGAAGTTTGGCATAATTATGCATGGATATTAACTTTTTTTATGTGTAATGCGTCAATTTCAGGGCTAAACATAGTAAACTCGGTAAAACTTGGGCAACTTTGAAGCTCAAATCCTCCGCAACAACATGACATATCAACGAGATGGAAGTCGTGACTTTGTAGAGGAAAGTCTTGGCTTCGAAAACACGATTTATTTTGGGGTGTTGCATTTCTATTTTTGGAGGATTTGAAGGATCTACATGACCAATAAAAAGTTGCGGGACTAAGTATAATTACCAAATTCGTGTAATTTATCTTAGCACTGTTCTTAATTTGGTAAGGCTTTTAAAAATTAAGACTTTTTAGAATTACGTTAGTATTAGTGGGTGGCAAGCAATTATATCATCTAATTGATTAATATTAATATTTAATTTTCCAAATTCGTTCGTAAATATGAATTATAAAAAATTTAAAAATTATATATATATAAAAAAAAATAAATTTATAATTAAATAATTTATTTGTTAGATGTCAACTAATCTTCAAACTCATAACACTTATAATGATAACAGTAAAATACAAAATACTGAAAATTTTACTTTGACCAGTTTTAACTTTGAAAGACCCTTTGAAGAAGACAACGAAAATGTAATCTCTAAATTACTTCAACGTGTGAAAACTTCGTTTAGTATTCCTGGTGGTAATTCAACAACAATTTATGCATCTACACAAGTTCTACCCAAAAATACTACTGACATCACAAGTAACTCTACCATTACTATTAACAACTGCAACAACAATAATAATAGTAATACGAATTCTACTAATGCAAACAATACAATTAATGGAACTCAAGAAAATAACAACAGTTCACCAACTAAACCTTCTGTGACTTCGCTTTTATTACCTGACAAGGAAAAAAAAGGTTTTGTTCAAGGCGTAACACTCGCACCACCTGTTATATCTTTCGAAGCTGCATTATTTGACAATGCTCCGGTGCTTTTATTAGAGTCAGAACCTATGACACAAGATTATTCAACAAAGTATGGCAATTTAAATGATTCTACCAATTTAATATCTGAAAAGGCCAACGGTGTTCAACATCTCACAACTACATTATTTGATCAACAATATCAAGTCAGATATTTGAATGATGCATTTGATTCAAGAGTAGTAAAACCATTTCAAATTAATTCATCATCTGTTATCAAAAAAAACTCGGTCAGTAAAGCTATTCGCAGAATACGCGGCGAGGGTGTCAATAGAGTTTATTGGATGGCTGATGATACTTGTAAAGAATGTTATGATTGTAAAGCTACTTTCAATCTTCTGAAAAGGAAACATCATTGTCGTCTTTGTGGCAAGTTTCTTTATTGATTCTATTTCAAAGCATATTTATTATAATTTAATTTATTAATTAATATATATATATATATATATATATATTAAGTTTATTAATTACAACTTTTGGTAATTTTAAGGTCAAATATTTTGTTACAAATGCTCCTCCAATATAATATCTGGCGCAAGATTTAATCATAATGGATCAATAAGGGTTTGTAATTATTGCCATGATGAATATTCTGATTTTGAATCAGATATAAGGCAAAATGACATCTCACTTATGATCCCTCAAAGGCAACTTCAATTAACAATGTTTTCAGACAACTATAATGTCATTAGCCCTAATCCACAACCGGAATTTTCTTATTCATTGGCACCTCCAACACCTGGTCTTGTGAATCAAAGAGCTCCATCTCCTGATACAATTTCAATTAACGATGGTATCAAAAAAATGTTGGTGGTTGGTTCCTCATTATTTATGACAAGATCTAGATCAAATACAGCCGTAGATGACAGTAATACATTTTTATCATCGTCACCTGCACCATTTAGACATAGCCTACCGGAAGAAGATAAAGTAACTCCTGCTGCAAATGCTGAGGCTGTCTTAGATCCTGAAATCGCCCCATTCATGAGCAATGATGATGATTGTAACGTTAATTATGATTCACTAACCAATCAATCTTATCTTTCTGCTGTTTCGTATCTTAATAATGATTCTGCTACTCCAACACCTGTTGCCTCAGAATATGCTGGAAGTGATGATGAATCTTCCGATTATAACAAATTACAAGCAAAAAATTTGCAAAAACCTCAAAGAAATGAAGATACTAGAGCCATTTATCCAAAAGATAAAAATTATTCTTCTAATCATAGAAGAAGCATTTCTAATGCTCGTCCAACTCGTCCCATGAAAAGAGGTGTCTATATTAAGCAAATCAATACAAACGTCATGGATTTCTCACAGATGGAACCAAGACCATCCTCGCCTCTTAACATCCGTCATAACAAGTCACCCTCAGTTCCTGTAAAACTTGAAGTGAATCCTATTTCTCTGCAACACATGAGACAATTTTTACGTCAACTTCTTCAAGAATCTCAGATAGATTTATCTGGAGGATGGGAAGATGTCATAATGAAATTAGTGATGAAGGTGGCTGATAATTTAAATCCAAATGTTCGTAATGGTGATGAAATTGATATTCGTCATTATGTTAAAATTAAAAAAATTCCTGGAGGAGCACCTCAAGACTCTGAATATGTACATGGAATTGTCTGCACGAAAAATTTAGCACATAAAAAGATGCCCCGTTTTCTTGTGAGTCCTCGGGTGCTCATATTAACTTTTGCCTTGGAGTATCACAGGGTAGAAAATCAATTAATGTCATTAGATCCCGTGATTGCTCAGGAGGAGGAACATTTAAAAAATTTAGTTGCTCGTATTTCCGCATTAGCACCTCATTTGGTCCTAGTTGAAAAAACTGTTGCTAGAAAAGCTTTACAGTTTTTATTAGAGAAAAATATATCCGTTGCGTTAAATGTTAAATCGTCTGTTATAGAGGCTGTTGCTCGTTGTTCAAGGGCAGACATTATATCAATTGAAAAGTTGACTTCGGAGCCAAAATTAGGGAAATGTGGATCATTCTCTGTTAAAACTTTTGTTCATCAACTTATTCCAGGTAGAAGAAAAACTTATCTATATTTTGAAAATTGTCCGAGAGAGCTAGGTTGTACAATAGTGTTGCGAGGTGGTGATATAAATACATTGAAAAAGATCAAACAAATTACTGATCTTATGGTTTTTGTGGTTTACAACCTTAAATTGGAAACAGCTTTGTTGTTAAAGCAATTCGCAAGATTAAATTACGATCTAAATTTGGTTGATAGAAAAAATGATGACGAAGATTGTAAAAGTAAAAGCCTTGGTATTTCAAAGCAGACACAGGATATTGTAAGACCATATGAAACTAGGATTCTTTCAGTGTCACCATTTATCAAATTTCCTCCTCCTTATTTGCTTACAAAAATGATACAAGCTGAGCGTAAATTAGCAGAATTAAATCAGAAACATGTTTCAGGATGGCAAACTGGTTCTTTAAAAGATAGTGAGAAATCACATCCGTCACAATCGAGCTCAGTTACTGGATTATCTGGTATTCTACGTACTCCAGAACAGGTCTGTGCCGAAGGGGAGTATAATGATGCATATGATGAATATGATTATCAGGCTAAAGCATGGAAAAGTCATACATTTAATAATGTTGTTAGTCCTTATGCCTTTCAAAATATCACGATATTATATACAAAATTTTGTGAAGAAACTCATAAACCATGTATAAGACCTGAAATTTTAGTTATGGAGTATTACGGAGAATCTGATCGTACAATTGGCCAATATATTGAAGACTTGATTACTAACTCTACTAGTATTTGTCAAAATTGTTATAAGCCAATGTTCTTACATTATCAAAGTTTTTGTCATGGAAATTCTAGAATTACTGTGCATCTTATGGAATATAAAAATTTAGGACATCATGATGTACACGAATTTGAAAATTGTATTTTAACATGGAGTTACTGCAAAAAATGTGAAAAACCAACTCCGGTCAAAAAAATGTCAGATGATGCATGGAAGTACTCATTTGGAAAATATCTTGAACTGTCGTTTTATCAAACAGAATTGGAAAGTTGCAATGAAAATTGCCAACATGATGTATTCAAGGATCAAGAAAAATGCTTTGCATTTAATAATCTTGCAATAAAATTTGAATATGAAGCTATCAAGCTAATGGAAGTACACGCACCACCTAAGCACCTATACTATAAGCCTGAAGTTCATATTCGACTAAAAAATCAAGATTTAGATACAATTCGCAATAAGATTACAAGTTATTGGGATTCTGTAGCTGATCGAATCAAAAACTTTAACTATGATTTTGTTGAACTCGATAAAATCGAATGTTGTAAACAAGAATTATTAGAAATGTCTAGAAGAGTTGTGACTGAAAGGCGATACATGTTACAAAAGCTTCAACAGACATATGTGAACAGCGCACCCGAAGACACATTGGAATTAAATAATGTAATGTATGTGCTCCAGGAGAAAGTGACAGTTTGGGATAAATATTTCGATGAAATTGCAAGACAATATTTTCCTCGATTAACGACAAAACAATTAAAAAGATTTTTTGAGGTCAAACAATATGTTATGCCATTGGGACATGGTTATCCTGGCTCACTTTTAAATGACCTACCGTTGATAAATATGGATCCTGATGATACTGACAGAGTGGATGAAGAATTGTTGGGACCAACGATATTTCCAAAATTAAGTGGTTCACCCACTAGAGGATTATTATTGAACGAGACAAAGGATATTGAATTGTACCATGAAGATGAAATTGAAAACTTGGAAAATGATATCGAAAAGGCCAATTCGCAAGTTTCAATGTTCCCATTCATGGATCCTAAAATCTCAAGACGTTTGTCAATGAAATGGATGAAAGAATCTAAAACCTTTCAATCGCCAATAAAATCAAACAATGCATCTGAATCGATTTTCACATTAATAGCTGACCAACAAGAAGATTCACAAGCTGAGGTTGAGTTTACGCAAGAGCCAGAAGTAATTCCAAGATTGATCCCTTCAACAATAAAAAAGCAACCAAGAAATCTATTCTCATCTTATATCAATTTCACTATGTTTGATGATACAAAAGAAACTATGCAAAATAAACATGATTTTCAACCAATTGGACCGCTTGCACCAACTACGCCACCAATATCATCTTCATCATTACCATCACTATCTACTCAATTAAGTCGAATACCACTTATTGATGATAAAGAAACCAAAAAAGTTCAACTTGATCGTTTTGCACAAAAAAGATCATCCCTAAAAAAAATTCAACCCTTAGAATTAAAAGGCGCACAAAATAATAACAGTAGAAGATTTTCAATTAAAAACTTGCCTTCAGAAACTTCTAATAAGAATAATAGTGGTAGTTGCAGTGGTAGTAATAACAGTAATAGTAATAGTAATTCAAATCGATCAAATGAGAATCGAGATCATAATAAGATGGGTGCATTACATAAACCCAGGCACCGAAGACCAACTATCTTAACATCAAAGCCTACAATTGAGATATTCCGCAATGTTAGTACGGCAACAGCAGAAGAATCGGATGAAGATTTTGAGGAGGTGGATGATAATTATGAAAAAAATTTAGAGGACAAATATCAAATTTTTTCATTGAATAGTACAGATGCTTTTGATGAGTCATTGGGAAATGAAGAAATTTTTGCAGCGCGTACTCATGAAACATCTGCTGAATCATTCGTCCATCATTCAGCTTTGACATTTTTAGGCCCAGAGTTCAATGAGCCTACTTCAGGAGGTCAGTATAATCAGGTTCATTAATAATTTAAAAAAGTGATTTTCTTGGGAAATAAAAATTTTTTTTAAATTATAATTTTTCAGATCATCAAAATCTTAATAACAACAGTTCTGGAGTAGTAATGCCTCTGATGAGATCTCTCACAAACCTTTTAACTGATAGGAAAGCCTTTAAACCTTTAAAATATCCTTTGTAAGAACATTTATTATTACATTGGTGTGTATTATGTATCTATGCATTGTTTTAATTTTAATTTTAATTAGAAATCCAACAGAGCATGTATTTCCCAATTCCCAAATTATTGTGAGGGAGGATGAACCTGGATCTATCATTGCATTTGCTTTAAAGTATTGTATATAAAAAATTTTTTTTTGCAAATATTGAAATTAATGATTATTCTTTTTAAAAAAAGTAATTCATATTTCTATATTTATATAGTTCACAAGAATATCTTGAAAAATTAAAGAATGTGCGGTCAATAAATCAAACATTTATAACAGAAGATGATAAATTTGGTAGTAAAGGTTCAAGTTGGGGAATTTTAAATGTTGATGAGGGTGCTAATTTTGACGATGATTTAATTTCACATATGAAATGTCGTATGTAAAATTAATTTTAATATATATATATTGTTTAATTTGACTTTTTCTTATAATATAATGATGATTTTAATGATTATATATTATTATTACCTAAAGAATTAAAGGATGGGTCTACGCAATTTTTTTGTAAAATATTTTGTGCAGAACAATTTGATAATTTACGTCGAAAATGTAATTGTGAAAGCACATATATACAATCACTCGCACGATGTGTTAAATGGGACTCGTCAGGTGGTAAATCAGGGTCTGCTTTCTTAAAGACAAGAGGTATGTTGAATAAATAAATAATGTATATTTTTTTAAAGCATAAATGAAAATTATTTATTATTTGTTCCTTAAGATGATCGATTGGTTATGAAACAAATGTCTCGTAATGAGATGGACGCTTTCTTGAAATTTGCTCCAAAATATTTTGAACACATGTCGAATGCTTTAGACAATGTAAGTTGTTAAATTATATTCATTTATAGTTAATAGTTTTTATAAAATTTGAAATATAACAATTACTATTAATTTTGCATTTTTATATAATGCAATAGGAGTCAACCGTTTTGTCAAAGATATTTGGTTTTTATCGCGTTGGTTATAAAAATGAACATACAGGGAAAAGCATGAAAATTGATCTTATTGTAATGGAAAACTTATTTTATGAACGTAAAGTTTCAAAGGTATGGCAATAATGACCAAAAGCTATATATATCATCTGGAATCAAGTATTTACTAATTTATTTGTTAAATTTGTTAGATTTTTGATTTAAAAGGTTCAATTAGAAACCGGCATGTTCAATGCACTGGAAAGGAAAATGAAGTTTTATTGGATGAAAATTTACTTGAACGTAAGTAAAACATTATAAATGATAATTATGATAATGATAGTAATAATTATAATTATTATTGTTATTATTAGTTGCATTTACAGATATTGGAATATTTATTTTTATTATTTTCTTTTTTTTTTACAAATAAACAGTCATTGTAAATGAAAATCCTATATATCTTCGAGAACATGCTAAAGATTTACTTCGTAAATCACTTGATAATGATACAACATTTTTAGCGGATCATAATGTTATGGACTATTCACTATTGGTCGGTTTTGATGATGATAAACAGGAATTGGTTGTTGGAATAGTTGGTAAGTAAATTTTTCTATTTTATTGAAAATAAATAAATTTAGATTTATACAAAAGTTCATTAATTTATATATGGACGCGCATATATTTTTTGTGGAAAAGATTTTATAAGAACATTTACATGGGACAAGAAATTAGAAAGTTGGGTGAAAGAAGCAGGATTTTTGGGCGGAGGTGGTAAAGAACCAACTATTATTTCACCCAAACAATATGAAAATAGATTCAAAGAAGCAATGGAAAGATATTTTCTTATGGTACCTGATAGATGGATTAATTATAGAACACATCAAAGATTTGATATAAATCTTATCTATAAATAGAATGTATATACAAATCGTTATACAAAAAAATGGGATATTATTTTATTATGTATATTACTGTAATTTTTTTGGGATATTTGGGGTTCTATTTATTTATTTAAAATGTAATTATTTATATTCAATACCTTATCATTAAACTTGTAATTGATTTACAAAGCTATTGAACGAATCAGACTTCTATGATATAGAAATTAGAGTTAGAATAGATGAGGATGTCAAAAATTTTAAAGCTAATTTTAACATTTTAAAATAAAAATAAATAAACGTAGAAAAGTGATTGACTAAGGTTAGCCAATAGTTGATGTTGATTATCCAACAAAAGACTGTGCCACGTAAATAGAGTTTTGAATGGATGAATGAACACTCTATATTTAATAAATAAATAATTTATATGTATATAGTTCATTATACCATTTTTGTAAATTTTTTGTTAATATTAATAAAAGAAAATTTCGAAAAGTCTTTTTTTTAAATATAACTGTTTTTATTTTTATTAATACCATTTTTATAATTAAAATTATTGTTATAATTTTTACAAATGTTAATAAATAATTTTCCTGAAATTGAAGAAATCCATCAACATATTAATAAAATAAATGAAAAGATTCCTCCACAACAAGAAGAGGTGGTTATAATTATTGGTGATACAGGAGAAGGGAAAAGTTCTCTCTTAAATTATTTAGCTGAAGTTCCCCTGTTTGGTAAAAAGGGAAAAGGTTTTGGTAGGTTTGTTATTTACACTGAAAGTCCTCTAGAAGGTAGTGAGATTACCGATGGATGTATTTCGAAAACCTCTTTGCCATCAGGTTGGAAAGAATATTGGGACTGTCCTGGTTTTGGGGATACACGTGGTGAGGTCCAGGATATTGTAAATGCCTATTCAATTTACAAGTTAATCAAAAGTGCAAAAAAAGTGAAGGTTTTGGTCACTGTTTCTGAGGCTACAATTACAGGGTCAAGGAGTAGAAGCTTCTTAAATCTTATTCATAATATAGGAGAAACTTTTAAAAACACAGATGAGGATAAGTTAGTTCAAGGGTTATGTCTGGTAGTAACAAAAAATAAGACTCTTGACTTGGAGGAAATGAGAAATGGTTTGCTTGAGATTCTTAAGGAACAGGATGGCCAAGGAAATTTCAGTCCAACTCAAAAAAAAATACTTGGTTTTTTATCTTCCCCTGAAAGTCAAATTGTTTTTTTCAATGCACCTACAGGAGAAGGTCTTATTTCTGATGAGGACAGATCTCAAATCTTGGATAGTATATCAAAGATTCCTTATTTGGAAAAACCAGAGCCTAGTATTTCTATTGCTCCTGAGTCAAAAAATCTTATCAAAGGTCTAGCAGATAAGCTTAATGATGACATAGAAAATTTTATGATACATAAATTTTATCCAGGAATTCTAGACTACCTTGATAAATTAATAGACAATCATTCAGGCACAGTTAAAGAATTGAGAGAGTCTCAGTCTTTAAAGTACTTTTGTGATCAATTGAACAAAATATC